TCCTTGTGTTCGCTTCCAGCCGGAATATGCCGGCGAGCATCTATAAGTTTCAGAGACTGTGAGGAGACCCAATGTCCATGTTGGCGATTAGATATACCACATGAGGATTTTCCTGCTGCCAGCAAGGTCTGGTGAATATGAGACCAGTGAGCTTCAATTGCATTCAGTGAGCGTTCATCCAACTCGCATGACAGCGTACTTTGATAAGCATTCAGAACAGCTGGCTTCGCCAGTTGGTTGGTGTCAATGCGCTCACAACGTCGTCGTGGGCGTCCGCCAAAGCGCATCCGCAAGTCAGCACATACAAGTGCATGATCGGTGTCCACATCTGTGTTCCAAATCGAGCGACAGTTCTGGATGCAGCCTCTACAGCGGTAACTGATTGTAATGTGATCGATTTGCGTCCAAGGCTGGTTCGAGGCTGGTGGGCGCCAAGTCACCCTCCGGCAGGTCCTCCAGAAACGTACACACATATGAATGATGGTAGTAGATGTGCAATAAATGTGCCCAGCACCTTCACCATCTGTTCAGCGTAAGACCGCAATCGTATATTTGGTGGATCTAAGTTTGGGAGTTGTGATAAGGCATCCGGTCGTATCAGGGTAACTGCGGAACCGGTGTCAATTACAAAATCCACAGACTGACAGACACGACAAAAGGTTTTTCCGACGTTATGCTGCGGTTAAAAACAGTTGCGGTATTGATCCAGTTCTGGTGTAAGTTCTCGGTGATGCAGTTTGTAGCTGTATGTTGCTCAGATTCAAATGATTTCAGCCTGAAAAGAAATACTTTCCGAATATGACCTATTTTTAGAACAAAATCTGCACATCGAATGAAAATGCTTACAGTCATTAGGGGACGAATGACGTTCACTACAGTCATAACAATGAAATTCTCTACGCTGCACAAGTTGAGTTGTGGTTTCATCACAGTTAACCCAGTAAACTTTGTTTAAATCCTGTAAGATCAACTGATTGGAAGAAAACGCAGCTAGTTCCTGAACGAGGTTTGCACGCTGTCAAACAATACCACGGGCTTTTCCCATGCCAGGAGCGTTTCGTTTTGGTATAGCAGCCACTCTGGTGTCTTTTCATCGAGAACACCACAATTAACGCCTGTAACAGCATCGCTTCGAACTCGATTGTTGTCGAATGGTGTTGAATTTGTAGCGTGATGTGAACACACTGGTTTAGAGAACAGGACACAGATCGTAGGTCTCCTTTTGTAGGTGATTGCAAATTGTAGGAATGCCGCTGGCCTTCATTACCGAGGTGGGGGCGTAGTAGGAAGATTTTCGCTGCATCGTCTAGCTTTTTGTTGCCGCCAAGAAGCAAACTTAGACCAACGTAATTAATAAAAGTAGTTTTCCACTGTGTCCACTGCTGGGTAGTAGGTCTTCCGGTAGGGGAATTCAGAACAGCAGGGGTGCCGTAATCGAATTTGCCATGAGAATCCGATAACCTTCGTTGCCAATCCAAGCGAAATCAGAACAGCGGTATGGTAGTAGGAAAACTTTAATGGCAAGCGTGGAACGGTACGTTATACGCAGCGCATGTCAGCACGTAAAAACTGTTCGCCCCGAAAGTCACATGAACGGGAGAAAAAGTTTCGGTGTCGAGCGAATCAATGGCGGGCACTGATTGGTCGTGACACAAACATGTACGCATATGGGTACACACGCTGCTAAGCAGGAGGCTCTCCGGCTGAATAGAGGTGGATGGACAGGGAACGACCATCGGTGCCTTCGCAGTTTGGCTCACATCTAGTAGGAACACCGCGTGAGCAACGAGCGTGTTCGACGCCTTGTTTACGGCACAGAAAAAGATACCGAACCGCTCAGCACCGTCATTTCACGCACCAGGTTCCGATGGCCGGGCCACGTGTTGCGCATGCCAGCCCACCGACTCCCGCGACGTGCGTTGTTTGCTCACCGGGGATGTGGATGGAAGAAGAGGAGAGGTGGCCAAGCGATGACTTGGTCCAGAGGAATGAAGTCCCTCACTTCTGAGCTGGCCTCAGTTCGAGTGTCTCGGCTCCCTGGTTGGGGTCCGAAAGACGATGAACACGTTTGGCTGGATACACTTGCTGACATGGCAAAGAGCCGATCTCAGTGGCGTTCGTGGTGTGAGTTTCTTTGTCCCTCCTCATCCCTTTTAGCCTCCCCCTCTGCCTACGATCTCATTTCGTAGCGTAAAACAAAATAATTTTTCTTTTTGCCTAGTAGCCGGCTGGTAGCTTACAGGAACGATGTCAATCCGCTGCTGGTAGCTCAGCTGGCATGCAACTGTTGTATTTATTTTTCTTTTCCCTTATGTATTGCGGCACAGTAGCTGAGGTGTTTCCCACCTCTAGCTGACGTGTATAATGATATAATGATGATGATGGAACGACCAATGAGCGTATCATGCTCCTCATCATTTACCCAAGAAAAAGCACACTCCGTTCTGTCCGTACATAAAGCTCTCGGTCAGGATGCCGTCAGAATAGTTTATGACATCAAGTAAAGGCTTTAAACTGTAAAACCATGGAGGAGAAAAACACAATTTTTGTTTCCGCCTAACACTTGGAATATGCTGTAAAAATCACAAGAAACAGCTGTAAAAATTTGATCACGCCGAAAAGGACGTCTCGTAAACCCGAGAATATACATTATCATCATTACTATTACACTGTGCTCCGTGGCATCCGGGAGTACACTTCTGGATTTCAACAGGCTAAGAGAACTCTCGGATATCCATTGACTCGCGCGGTGACCATTGATGGTGCGAAAGCAGAGACTCGTACAGCGTGCATTACGTCCAAACTATTCCACTGAAGCTCAGTGTCATTAGAACAAGAGAGCGACAGCTCGGCATGCAGTGCACCCTGGTAGGTTGACTTAACCGCAGACTGAGAGAACTTTTCAGTTGCCAATTGATGGAGACACTTGGCGTGCATTCCAGTAGAGTTCAAGGAAAAGCGACTGCGTACTAAGGCATGATCAGTGTCGAAGCAGGTATTCCAGAACAAGCGACAATCCAGTATGGGACCATGCCACATTCTTGATATATTTGGATTCATCGCTGCCCAGCTACAGGACGCCAAGCGGCACTCCGGCGCCCACTGAGTCTAAAAGCGGTGCTACTAAAAAACAGCCGGTGCGCCGCGCACAGTTGTAAAAGAAACGCGCCGTCGTCCGCATGGTCAAACTTCATACTTAACATCGAGCGGCGTTTCTGAAGTGCTCAAAAGACCCAGTTAGACATTTACTTACCCTGAAAAAACAATGGCATCTGAGATGGAAACACTGTGAAGCAGCGCGTTCAGTTCGTAGTAGAATGCGTTCTTAGCAACATCAGAACTGCAAGTGGAGGAAGCATAAGCAGAAACCACAAGAAAACAGCATCCGGTGCAACTTCCAGAATCAACCCTACTTGCTGTAGTCAAGCGGACTGCACTCAAACGGCTGTTCACTACAATCCAATTAAACAACGATAACTCAATCTTGGAGCTGAAAATAATGCCTAACCCAGCTTGACCAGTGATTGCCGCACCTGCGTGCCTCGATGCATGCAACCAACAGCGAGAGGACATACCGGGCGCAGTTACTTCAACATACCCGTGAGGGTCATTGATCTCAGTTTACGTCACACAGCACACGTCAATACCCTGTGTGTTCAAACTGCGTGCGAGTGCAGCCTGTTGACCTATTTGTTCTAGAGTATGAACATTGAACGCCGAGTGGGAAACGGGACAGTGGGGCCTTATAACAGAGTGTTGCGGATTGGGCTCCATCGGGCGGTGCGGGATAATAGCTTCAGATAGCTTGACTCCAGTGGCATTTTGACTGCTCTCAATTATAGAAGGAATTAGAGAAAGAAGGGTAGTGATGCGCCTCGGGGGAAGAGTAAGAGAAACAGGTGGAAAGGGAAGAATGGAAACGCCAGCAGTAGTCTGTTTTCGCTTATTCGCTCTGCGGTGTGCAGCAGCTAAGGCGAGTCTTGATACGCTACGCGACGGCCGATGCAAGAGGTAGTAGTTTGAAGAAATAGTCATGGTTGTATGTGGGGTGAGATACTGCCAGGGCGCCTAGATTTAGACAGGAGAACGATTAGGGTCCTCAATAAAAGTCTGGTTCAAATGCCTGTCCGCAATGCAGTGGGGAGGTGACAACAATTGGTTTCACATAAATGGACGCCATCCAATTACAAATCCGCCACCTGAAGGACCATGAGACTGAGTTTGTTTCACCTCTAACGCCTTCCCTACCTGGTAGGAGTAGCTCTCAAGGGGCCCGAGGGCCCTACCCAGTATAGCTCAGTGGGTAGACGTGGTACGCAAACCGTCGCAACAGGGTAAAGCCCAGCCTCGTTGCGACGGAAGTCATGTATGTCAGGAAATGCAACTTCTCTTTCCCCCTTCGAGCTTATGATCAAACTCCCAACAGTGGATCAGCAGACGAACATAGAGCAGATGAGTGATATAGCACGCCCGGAGTCGGATACAGCCGATGTTGAGTATTTTGCACATCGTCAAAAGTATTATCCCTTCAAATTGACCCAGCAACAGTTCTCAGGACCGTAGGAATTCTAAAATGATGGAATGAGTCGGAAGTGTTCCTTGTCTCAAGATGTCGGATAAAAGACTTCCTAGCGTGTGCAATTAAGTAAAGAGTTTTGTGGAGTGTTCACGTGCCAAAGGTTAAATCCACAGCCACCGATATTGGGCTGTGGGGAGAAAAAAGGGCAAAACTTAGTCGGTGAAGTTTTGCACGCGAAAGTAAATGGGGGATGGTAAATGTGCATTGCTGGCCAACACGATGGGATATAGGAGGTAGACAAGTTCTGTTCAAAAATGGAAAAATGTACCCAAATCAAGGTTTAAGGTACAAAAGGTGCGATAATCTCGAATAATTTGGTTAAGCAACCACAAGTTGTAGACAGCTATTTGGGAGCTTTCTATGCGAACAAAGAAGACTGGAGAATTCAGTGATTACGACAAACAACAAAAAGTAAACTTACTGAGAAGGCGTTGATATCCTGGTAGATCTGGGCCAGATGGATATTCGTAATATTGGCCACAAAATCCGAGATTGAAGGTGAAGTTGGATATCCACTGGCGCCAACGGTGTTGCGCGAGCACTAGTGCCTGAGGAAGGGGGATTGTCCACAGATAAAGGGTAGGGAGGGTTAGAAAGAGATGCACAGGCACAGGTCATTATGCGAAGGGAAATTCCCCAAGCATTGAGTTATCCGAAAAATGTAACTGTCCAAGAACATTGGGGAATCTGATAAGGAGTATCATCCTGATGTCTGTTTCACAGGTGATAGTCAACGTCAGCACTATAAATGAAAAACACAGATAACAACGGCTGTCCAAATTAAGGATGATCGCAAGTGGCACCCGAACAAACGGCATAGCGCCTCCAAGGAGGTTCTGAGGCTCGGATCATTCGATGGATCAAAGTAATAGGACGCTCACGTGAATGCTGTGTGAAAAAGGCAAATGTCACCATGTGGACAGTTCCTTTAGCCAGGGAGATGAAAGTTTCCCCTTCCCCGAATAAGTGTGCATAAAATAACAGGACTCGAGGACTCACTAAAGCGTCATCTTCGGTGTAAGGAGTACCAACTCCGACGTTGAAAACGTCATCAATGTCAATCAAAATCCAACGGGTGAGACCGTACGGTGCCACAGCTGGGGAAAAGTAAAAGATGGACAATTTGGAGTGAATTGTTCAACCAATGAAGCGCCTTACGACTGCACAAATGAAGGTATAATAAGGATGAAGCATGGAATATGTCTCTAGCAAATCTCCATCATCATCAATACACGTTAGCTGAGGGTGAGAAAAACACAGCTACTGTGCCATGACACAAAAAGAACACAGTACAAAAATTCAAAAAGTGAGTAAAATCATGTTAAATATTATGTCACATTTTAGATCGTGATTGGAGGGGGAAGCTAAAGGAGAGGGGATGGACGAACACCAATGGGGCCGACTCTTCGGCATATCAACAATGTGTCCAACCAAACGTGTTCATCGGCCTTGGGACCCTAGCCCGGCAGTCGGGATGCACCAACCGACGCCAACTTCAAAGTGAACGCCTTCATTCCTCTTAACCAAATCATTGTTTGGACACCACCATCTACCATCCACACCCCCGGTGTGAAAACCACACACGACGCGGGAGTCGGTGGGCTGGCATACGCAACATGTGGCCCGGCAATCGGAGCCTGGTGCTTGAGATAATGGTGCTAAGCGGTTCACTTGCTCTCGCACCCAATTCACTTTAGACCACGAGATTGTGTGCGTTAGGGTTACTTTGCGTTATGGTGGAACCCAATGCGATAACCGGAAAAAGTTTGAGGTGGATCAGATTTCTGAAACGAACGTTCTCAGCTCAGCACAGTACGTGCCAAACTTAGACATCGTGTCCCATGCTTAGACACTGAAACACCCAGGGCACACATTTGGGGTGCAATGCACAACTGCGAGGTGGGTTTTACCAGCAGTGTTGTCAAGCAATGCCTCACTACACAATCCAGCCCCTTGAAGCGCATCTGACGATTCCCACAGGCGTCGCTTACCATTCACTTCGCAGGACTACCAAAGCTGAAGAGAAGCACCTGCTACGGGAAGATCGATAGGTCTGGTGGAAGCAGTAGGTCATGGAAATGGAGTAAATGTCCACCTCGGGGAACTTACGTGACCTTTTTCCCTGATCCGATGCACCGGCGACAAAAATCTGGCCGTAAGTTAAATTTTATGTGAAACCAATGGCGATTAAATCTATTGTGGACTTTGACTTTTGAGTTGGTCTCAACCGTTCAAAAACTAGTTTAACTGGTGAGTATCCCCGACGAGTCGCCCTCCTGGAATCCACAGTGATCTCTGAAGTGTGGACGCTTCACCACCACGAGGACAGAATCGACGCGAGGGCAACCTAGCTTCTGATCAGGTCGGATTTGTACAGATCCAAGTATTGAGATCCGCAAATACCTAGGGGTAGTCAAATGTTCGGTTAGTGAACGATCATGAACCTAGACATACGAGCCGAGTCTGACTCAGATGATCGAGTCGCACTCTGAAGCTGTCTTGGGAAGTACTTAGGATACATGCTATCATTCTTCACGTCAATTATGATCGAACCTCGATTCGAGTGCAAAGGTACGGCAAACTTTCGTCCCCATTCAGTATAAGCAATGGCGTGAGACAGGATTGTTCAATATCACTCTTCGCTTCCAAGTTTGTTATGGATGATAACCTGCAGTGTTCTGGAAAAGTTGAAACCAAGTGGCGTTGAATGCTTCCTGTGGAGCGACTTCACGATCTGAAGTATGCGGACGACATCACCTTCATTTGTGAGTCCCGGCAGTACGTAAGTTGGAGGTATCTTCCTCCCAGTTTGGAATGACAGCCCTTCTGAAGCACAGTCTCTCCGCAACCCAGGCCAGGAGCTGCTCCTATTCTGAAGATGTCCAGTTATTCTTCGAAAGAGGCTGAAAAATTTGATAACTTCGGAAGCTGTCTTAGCGTTGACGAACTAGTGGACGAGATTTGTTTGCGCGTTTCTAGGGCTCGGGTTGTTCTTCTCTCGGGAGATCAGTCGCTCTCTAGAAAGATGTGATGGCAACATAACATTAGTAATAATGACACTAGTCGACGGATTTTAAAAGTCTAATAGACTCTGTCGGCAGTAGAGCTGCATAATTTGACTGCACATGCTTCAGTGGCTTGGGCACGCGTTTCGCATGTCGGCTCTCTGTTTACTTCACCATGTCCTCTTACACGTGCAGTCGTGTAGAAGTCAAAACATGGTGGCCAAGAATAAGGTGTAAACATTTTGAAGTAACAATATCCGAGGACCTTCCCCACCTCAAGCTAACGTGTGGAATAGGAAAGATGATTAGAAACAATAACCCAAAGCCGCGTGCGGTCAGGTGTCCACAATTCCCGAGAGAGAGGTAGCAAGCAACAGTGCTAACAAAAGTCCGTCGTAACGAGACCGGACACTAACGTGGTGCGACGGTTTGCGTACCACGTCTACCCACTGGGCCCTCTGGCCCCTTGAGAGCTACTCCTACCAGGTAGGGAAGGCGTTAGAGGTGAATCAAACTCAGTCTCATGGTCCTTCAGGTGGCGGATTTGTAATGGGATGGCGTCCATTTATGTGAAACCAATTGTTGCCACCTCCCACTGCCTTGCGGACAGGCATTTGAACCAGACTTTTATTGAGGACCCTAATCGTTCTCCTGTCTAAATCTAGACGCCCTGGCAGTATCTCACCCCACATACAACCATGACTATTTCTTTAAACTATTACCTCTTGCATTGGCCATGGCGTAGCGTATCAAGACTCGCCTTAGCTGCTGCACACGCAGAGCGAATAAGCGAAAACAGACTACTGCTGGCGTTTCCATTCCTTCCTTTCCACCTGTTTTTCTTACTCTTCCCCTGAGGCGCATCACTACCCTTCTTTCTGTAATTCCTTCTATAATTGAGAGCAGTCAAAATGCCACTGGAGTCAAGCTATCTGAAGCTATTATCCCGCACCGCCCGATGGAGCCCAATCCGCAACACTCTGTTATAAGGCCCCGCTGTCCCGTTTCCCACTCGGCGTTCAATGTTCATACTCTAGAACAAATAGCTCAACAGGCTGCACTCGCTTGCAGTTTGAACACACAGGATATTGACGTGTGCTGTGTGACGTAAACTGAGATCAATGACCCTCACGGGTATGTTGAAGTGACTGCGCCCGGTATGTCCTCTCGCTGTTGGTTGCATGCATCCAGGCACGCAGGTGCGGCAATCACTGGTCAAGCTGGGTTAGGCATTATTTTCAGCTCCAAAGTTGAGTTATCGTTGTTTAATTGGATTGTAGTGAACAGCCGTTTGTATGTAGTCCGTTGACCCACGAAGTAGTACAAAGCGCTGTTCGTTTGCGTTCTCCGCTTATGCCCTTCCGTCTATAATTCTGATGCTGCCAAGGACATTCTATCACGAACTGAAAGCGCTACCAGGAACTGAACACGCTGTTTCGTAGTATTGTCAGTTCAGATGTCGCTGTCTTAGCAAAGGATATAACTGAGCCAGCGATAGGCAAACCTGATCACGTTGCCAAAAGCTACGGGTGGCGTAGTTCCATCCTATATTGTCGACTCTGATCAAGTCTTAGTAAGCTGTCTTTTATCCATGTATTTTACCGGGAGGCATACCAAGCGTCTCCACCGATTGGCTACTGATAAATTATCTCAGTTCTCGGTCAGGCAAGCCTACTAATGGCAGTCGGTGCGACAGTGCTAACCACAGGAGTATTTGTCTAACACCACTTGTGACAAAATTGCTGGCTTCGATTCTTGTTCGTCGGCAACGGGATACACGGAGTAGGGAAGAGCAGACAGGTTTCCGCCCTGGACGGGGTTGGATAGATCACATATTTACTCTGCGGTGGGCACTAGAGCAGTAGCACATGTACCGCAGGCCGACAAATAGCTGTGTTCCTCGACTTTAAGTGCGTTCGATTCAGTCAATCGATCCATTCTGTAAGAGATATTTGTGCGCAAAGGCGTCCCCATGAAATAGGTGAACATTTTACATGCCCTGTACTCGAACACCACAGGCCGCGTCAGGGTCTACGGTGATTTATCGGATATCGTTCCGACAACAGATGGTCTTCATCTGAGTTTCCAATTACCCCACCTTTTTCAACTTCGTGGTGGACTCCATCATGGAGTGTTCCCTTGCGGAAGCTTACGATACAGGTGTTGCCTGGTGAAAGGCTAGTTGATTTTGAGTATGCGGACGATATTGTCCGGCTTTTTAACCATGTTTGGGTGATTCATTCAACCTTGAATACTCGCACTACAGTGGTCCCATTATTAAACATAAACTTCGCACCTTTAAAGTTCAGTGTTGTTGCAGGACCATCAGCCACTCGATGACCCCTTAACCATTGATAGCGCAGAACTCGAGGTAGTTGCATTAGCAACATTGGGCGCATAACCACTGAGGTGAGTTCATGCATTGCAAAAGCAAGAACTGTCTTCTTGTATCTGCAACAGCTATGGCGTCAGGAAGGAGTGCTCTCGGTCTGAAAGACCTGTTTACAAGATCACAGTAAGAGCCATCCAACTTTATGGGAGTGGGAGTTGGCCCCTACGATCGGAACATGTGAACCATCTTTAAGTCTTTGATCATCACGATTTGCGAAGTATTGCTGGTGTCGGGTGGCATCAACGTGGCCGCAAGGATGTTGTGTGCAGGCCAGTACCAGGCAGTGATAAGCAAGCTAGTTCCGTAGAACAACAGACAGTACCAAATAAGTTGCGTTGGCTTGGGCACGTACTACGCATGCCCGATCACCGTTTACCGAGGAGTGCCTTGTTTTGTTTGTCAGCTGTAGGGTGGCGCAAGGCGCGAGGTGGACAAAAGTTAACTTGCCAGCTGAAAATGAAGTCGCTGGTGAGCAAACTCGGTACCCACGGTTGGTTTCGTCTTCCAGACTGGAGTCCACGTGATTCGCTTTGTGGCTGCTCGAGCCTCTACATGGCTGACAGTCGGCACCAAATACATGTCTCCTGTGGTCTCCTACTCGACTGCCTCTTAAAAGCATGTTTGGTGCTGAGTTATCTGCGGGGTAATGGCTGATTATGCCGCGGGACAGTGATAGCCACAAGGAAACTGTCTCGCCGAT